ATTTCTAGCGAAAATATGTGTAAGTGGGTTTATTTTGAAAGGAAAAGTCCTACTCCCAATGTCATAACCAATTAAATTCTCCAGGTAATGACCCCATTTGCATAGTGAGCAGAACCCACAAGTGGGAATTCTAATGGGTACACCACCTGAATACAGTAATTGAGAGTGACAAACTTGAACTAGTTTTGTGCTAACCTCACTGAAATTCTGCTCAGATTATTTTGAATGTCAAGGTACAAGTCAAATTCCAAGATGATGGATTTGTTCTTTTTTAAGCTCCAAGTTTGAATAAAAGAAATGCATTGCATGTCTTCACTTTAACTAATCTGTGTTTCTGTTTCTCCCCTTGCTTCATTTTCTTCAGTGATTGGAATTTAATTTTATTCATTAATTTGTGAATAATTAGATAAAAAAGAAATAATGTCCTCAGCAGCTAAATTGCTTTTGGATTGCAAGTTAATGTACTTTTACCAGAATATATATTATATAGTTAAACTGGCATAACAGTTTACTAAAATGTAATTGTGTAAATATGCCCAATTATTCTTTCTGATTATCTAACAAAATTTAATGTAATGAATATTCCAGGGTATTTCACTTGTCCCCTACTCTGATGCTGATAAAACACACTTTCTGCAGAGCTGATCAGAGATGATTTGTCACCTGAAAGTGCTGCTTCTAAGACATTCTCTGTATCTCTCAGGCACTATTCATGTCCTTGAAAGAACGGTGCACTCTGATGGAGGGATCATATGACGGCCACATTAAATTATATAATAAAGGAGATTTTAAAACTCCAAGAGTCAGACACCTGATGAACTGTGCTTCCTAGGTTTTGAGGTGACATTTCAAAACCTCTTTTGTTTCACTCTAAGATTGCTTTCAGTGCTGTTTGTAGGTGTCTGACACAACTCAGCCACATCTGTAATTGGCATAGCATCCAGCCGACAGGCTCTGTACATCTTTGCACTGCAACCTACCAAGTTAAGAAATGTATCGGTTCAATATAAAACAGCAGGCTGTTTTTAGACATAGTTACTAGTGCACAAGCTTTAATATGGCTTGGTTTCATCCTATAATGAGATCTTTTGGTTCCCTGCTCAACAGACTTTTATTCCTCTGGAAAAGGCTATGAACTATGTCAAGTGGCTCGGATGCTTTTGTCCACCCTCTTTCTTGGCTTTGGAAAGTAATTCCTTTGCTTCTACCTCTCTATGCATCAGACAGAACTTAAGAACCGTTTCAATTTTTTTTCAAGTTAAACTTAGAATTTCAGTGTTTGAATTTGCTTTTCACTATTTTTTTAAAAAATTACTTTTCACCTAAATTTCACAAAAGGGAGCTGCCTAGAGGTAAATGTCTAATTGTAGAGCTACCTTTGTCTTTGTCTTCCACAGATGTATCTTTAGCTCCAGGTGGCTAATGTATCAAAGGATGGGTTTCCTAAAATGATTTCTTTACAGCCACTACCCAACCATGTAAATGATTCTTGTTTTGTGTTCATCAAATAGGCTGAGGGGAGCCTTTTGATATAAAAATAAAAAGATGTAAACAATGCACAAACAAGCAACAGAACTAGAAATGTGAGCTTCTGCCCAATTGGAAGACATGGAACTCCTTATTTAACAACTGGCTGCTTCTGAACTTTAGTTGAAAGTATCCTCTGTTCCGGCATGTTAAGAATAGGATGGGACAGGTCTCTCCCTGAAGGATGCTGGTTTGTAGCTGGGGAGTGGTCATAATTTTGACTGTAACCTTCAGATTAGCTACTGATAACATTAAAATCTGATCTTATGAGTAGTATTTTGAATCACAGTCATATATCTATGTATAATATATTTAATATATATCTATTTTATATATAATTATATGTAAATAATGTATATAAATAATATAAATATAATATATATTATATGTAAACATATATAGATATATAATTTACTTATGGGGTGAGAGGCATGTGCATGTAGGTACCCTGGGAGATCAGAAGAGGGCATCAGATCACTTGAAACTGGAGTTAACAATGGCTGTGAGGCCCTGATGTGGGTGCTGGTAGCCAAACTCAGATCCTTTTGAATGTGTATCCTCTACAAGAGCAGGAAATGCTCTCCCAGCCTGAGTCACAGATGTTTAAGGTAAATGGTGCTGCCATTGTTCCCTGAAAATTTTGCAATAGGAAGATACAAGGTAAAACTAGTAATCAGTGACTATTTCTGCTAAAGCAACTTTCCATATCAGGGCTCCACAATGCCACTCTGTTTCCGTAACTTTTTCCTATTGTAAAACAAACGTCTAATAATAATCTTAGAGAATGGGGAAACAATGGCAGCCTCAATGGTGGAGGTATCAATTCCTCTCTGGAAAGGCCAATCTTCTTCCTGGGGTTGAAACTTCCGGAGCATCTTGTCATTTCCTTAGGGTAGCTGGTTACACATCAAGCACATAGAAAACACTGACAGAGATGAACACTGCAAGGTACTCAACAATAACAAATGTGTGGTGAAAAACATCAGTAGATGAGGAGGAAATCCCAGCCATATATTAACCACTGTTTCAAAAAAATCGGTATGCTAGGGCATTAGCATAAGAGAAGGGGGAAAATAACATTTGATGAAATCTTGATTGTTTCTCAGATCAGAGAAGGCAATCCTATGGCCCTGTAGACCACAAGCAATTGAAAGAGAGGAAAGTGTTTATAGTGTTTAACTAAAAATAATCTTAGTTATGTTATTAATCCATTACTAAATATCATTATTAGTAAATGGTTGATTAGGAAGATGGATAAGCATAAGCATTAAGTGGCATTGCAGTTCCTTGGATGGAGCCTTGGCTTTGTTAGGTAGCGATGTGTAAGTAGAGAACTTCACAATCTGGAGCATGAAGTTTTTATGGACAGAGAAGATCTTATACAAGGATGCCTTGGCTACTCTTTTATCTATTCAGACAACACCTATAGTTCAGGTAAGGAAAATGGTTACAGCACCCCCTAGAAAGACATAGAATAAAGTTATTTTTCTTAAAAAAAAAAAAAAAACACAAAGAAACAAAATGGACTGTGAAGACCCCCCCCCCAAAAAAAAAACAAAACCATAAAGTTTTATGTAAAATTCGTTAAATGTAACACCCAATTTTATATCTTGGAATGCTGGTGTTTGCCATTCAATGTCAGCATATACAAAATAGCTTTTTTTGGTTTTGTAAATTGAAATGAATTCCTCAGGTAAATAAATGAAATCAATCTACAGAAAAAGTGAAAGCTAGTGGATTGTTGATGAGTAATTCCTGCCCTTGGGAGGATGAGGACAGGAACTGAAGTGAGTTTGACATTACCCACAGTGAGGAGCAAGTCAGCCATGGTTACTCTGTGAGATCTTATCTCAAAAAATATAAAATGCAAAGGTTTTGTGGGTGGATTGGTCTTTTTCTCTCCACTGAAGGACTTGCCTGGACACTTGCAGCTCCATATCCTCTGCTGCTAGGAGTCTCAGCAAAGATGACCCCCACAGACTTCCTGGGGCCTCCCCTAACCCAGGTCTCTGGCAAATAGCAAAGATGTACCCCACTGCCAATTACCTTTCTCTCACCAGGCCCTCTCTCCCAAACTCTCCTTATTCCTAGCTCCCTCCCCTGCTCCCTTTCCCATTCCCTCTCCTACCCAATTCCCTCCCTCTCCATCCACCTCTAATGCCTATTTTATTTCCCTTCTGAGTGAGATTCAAGCATCCTCCCTTGGGTCCTCCTGTCCTCCTTGTAACTTAGCTTCTTTGGATCTGTAGAGACAAAGATGGAGCAAAAATTGAGGGGCTGGCCGAACAAAGAGTGGTGCTGCTTGAGAACCAGTCCCTGACAACATGAATGTTACTCTGCTATGCTTATAACCCCTCTCAGAGGCTTCACCCAGAAGGTCATGGAAACAGAGACAGACAAACTTTAGGTAGAGCTCGGGGAGTCACATGGAAGAGTTGAAGGAATTGAACTATGGAGGGAGCTGGAGGGGTCAAGGACTCTACAAGAAGACCTTACAGAGTCAACTAACCTGGGCCCAGGAGCCTCACAGAAACTGAACCATCAACCAAAGACCTTGCATGAACTGGTCCTAGGTCCCCTGTACATCTGTAGCAGATGCGTAGCTTGGTCTTCATGTGGATCCCCTAACAACTGGGGCACCGGCCCTCTCTGACTCTGATGCCTCCCTTTCAGTTCTGTTCCCCTAACTGGGCTGCCTTGTCTGGCCTCAGTGGGAGAGGATGCGCCTAGTTCTGCAGCGACTAAATGTGCCAGAGTGAGCTGGTGTTCATAGGGGTCCTCCTGCTTCTTTGAGGAGAAGGAGATCGGGAATGGGGAAAAGGGGGTTGGGCAGAGAGGAGGTGGTTACAGTCGGGATGTAAACTGAATAAATGTTTTTGGAGGGGGCTTTTGAGACAGGGCTTCTCTGTGCAGCCTGGGCTGTCCTGGACCGGCTTTGTAGACCAGGTTGGCCTGGAAGTCAAGAGATCCGCCTGCCTCTGCTCCCGGACTGCTGCGATTGCAGGTGTGAGACACTGCCAGCTCAACTCTAAATAAATAAATTTAAAAGAAAGAAAGGGAAAAAAAAGATGTGAACTTAAAGAAAAAAGAAAGAAAAGAGGGAGGGAAGAACGTAAAGAGGGAAGGAGAGGGGAGATAGAAGGAAAGAAAAAAGATAAGGGGGAGAGAGGGTGGGTGGAGGTAAGGAAGGAAGAAAAAGTGAGAAAAAAGAAGCTTGTATTTTTACATGCTGTGAATATTTAAAAGAATACTGTATTTTGGTATCATAGGGCAGCACTGATTTGTGGACAAAATAGTCTATATTTTTCTCAGTTCATTAGTGGGCATAGATCTTTTGAGAGACTAGGAAAGAACAACTAGGTAAATTTTCAGGAAGGGTAATGAAAATCTTCAGGTTTTAAATTATTGTCGAAATCATTTACATATAAAACAACTAATATATTAATTAGATATAAAATGATCTTAAAGCACAATAAAGGAGTCATGTTTTTAATTTTAAAGCAGCCAGAATAATACAGCTCCAGTTTGAAAATATGCCACATTTAAAAAGAGACTGAATGTCTAGCTGTAAACCATAGCAATTAGTCTTGACGGCCATAAGATTCAACAAAACACTTTACATACCAAAATTCTAAAATATGTTGAAACTGTTTTCACATTTGCCTATTTTTCTTTTGAATTATACAAGATGCCTTAAGGAATGGCTTGCCTGGAGTAGAGTGCGGAAGAAAAGTCCTACACGGAAAAGTATGGAAATTAAATTCTGGTATTCACGAATGCTCTCAATTACAGAAAAACATTTCAAATGCACTAACATTTTCATTGCAAATCATAGCAGGATATACTCAAGCATCAGACAAGCCTCTGGTTAAACAGTTTTACAGGATAGCAAGTCAAATGTTCTAACCATCATTAGGAGGCTTATAAACATGTGCTCTTCTTCATCCTATGATACAAGCACAAAATAGCATTGGGTATATGGAAATATTAAGGTCCCCACTATATTTGACATAACAAATGAAAGTTGCTATTTAAAAGACAGAAGAGGAAGGCAGCTGTATGTTAGCATTGCATTTAAAGTGTATGCATGCGTAAATGGTACTAGAAAGGAAACTCACTTGATTTTTTCAACGAATATTTAAAGTAATAATTTAATTATAAGCTAGGCTTTTTTGAAGGAAAAACATAGGTGACCTTCTCATTCTTAATGTTAAAAAAAATATTCAGGTCTCCTAAAAGTATAGGCTGGCTAAAGGCTTCTAAAAATGCATTATTTCTAACGATATGAATTTCATCCGGAACTGAAAAAAATAACATCACCCAAACATACTTTCAGGAGCTTACAAGGAATTAGTTAGTGCAACCAAATTTTAAATCTGGAGAGAGAAAAAAACTCATGGGAGGATGTGTGTGAAACCAAACTCCCTTCCACGCGAGCTGACTCCTTCGCTATCTAATCAGTCTCACCCCAAATTTATTTCTTTATATATTTACTATCCTTCTAATGTGCCATGTTGCCATAACTTAGCACACACTTGGAATACTGATATCTGGTGACGGTGCAGGACATCTGAGCTCTTCCTGTAGTGGATCCAAAACTTACATACTATGAAATACAACAAGGCTATGACTATAGCTTTATTGGCTTTTATTTTAAGCCAATAAAAATAAATAAACCCCTCCCTCACCGCACACCACCCCTACATAAAGAACTGAATCTTTCAAAACATAAGCCAGCTTTGGAAAAACCCCAAACCAGAATACTCGTTTTTTGTTTTTTGTTTTTTTTTTTTTTTGTTTTTTGTTTTTTTTTTTTTTAATCTTAAAAAAAAAAGCTCATTTAAATGAAAGTTGTTAAAAAAGTGTTCTACTTTTTTTTTGGTAAAATATCATTATGTTAACAAGGTATTATGTTTTCATTAAAATTTATAACATTTAAATTATGTGTAGGAAAGTGCATATTTGCATTAGTTCAGATTTTATAGTTCTAAGAAAGCTATGTTGCTGCAATGTTCAAAGGAAGGCACATTCTTTTCACTTGTTCAGAGCACAGACAGTTCAGGCCCTCTACCCTAAACTTTTCCCTAAGTTTAAGTAGCTCACCCTAAGGCATCCGCAATGCCAAGCCCTCCGTCAAGCCTTCCTCAATAACCTGCTATTCGCTTCGATAGCATCTTGCCTGTACTGCCCTGATGCCAGCATGACTTGATACCGAGTTCCTTCCTTAAAGCTCCTGTCCTGCTCTCCTCCATGAAGCTGCAGGCTGCGCTAGATGAGAGCAGGATGTCCTCAGTGTGCTCTGGGCAGAACCCCAGAGGTGGAAATTTCACAAAGGACACCAACACGGACCATCCCACGTCTGCGAATGGCCCTGCCCAATGCCATGCTTAGTTAGAATAAAAAGATGCTCACTTTTAACCTCCAATAGATAAACAGCAGACATAAGCGATCTGGCTTAAATACATACCGAGCAATGTTGTATTTAGACCAAAGAGTTGGTGAGAAATGGTTACAAGAAACAGACATGTCAACAGAAAGAAGACATTTAACATTTTAAGGTATGTGTGTGTGTGTCAAAATGTCTTCCAATTGTTATCATGTATAAAGAAACTCCAAAAACCAATTAGTTAAAACTTCACATATTAAACCACATAGATCTTGTGAAAGAGGAAGAATTTCAGAGATTACTTACAAAATAATGAGTTAAACAGTGCAAATACTGAGTCGCTTCATGAGAATCTTACCATGTGCTTTTCTTTCCTACCAGAACTATTGTAAAATGGTCTCCAGTTTTAATACAAACAAAAGATGAATCTTTAGGAAGGGAAACAGATGCCACAGCATTCCATACAGATTTCTAAACAGTCTGAGGATTCACAACAGGCATCCATGATGCCACAGTCCATGTCACAAGGGCAGTTACAGTCATCGCCCATCTCGTCGCCACAGCAGCAGCAGCAGGCTTCAGAGGTACAGATGCCACATGCGGCTTGTCCCAGGACAATGTTGCAGAGGGTCAGGAATTCACAGAACAAGCACGCCAGGATGCAATGGACACAGCAGTCTTCACCCGCAGGCCAGAGGGGACCACATAGGGAGAGAAGGAAGGGACAAAATAACACGTTATCCAGAGACTGGGCAAAACTGGTCCAAGTTACAGCTCAAATGATACCCAGCCCTACACTTCTGTTGTTGACTGGGAGTTAGATGTACACAAGGAGCTCAGCCTACATGAGTGATCTATACACATGGAAACTGGACTAGAAAACTGAGCCGTGGTTGTGTGCATGTCTGTAGAGTGTCACTCTGACACTCTTTGTCATGCATCTTGATCCCAAGTATCATGTTTCTGGGAAGCTTACCTATTGTTCACACAACCACTGCTCTCAGTTACACTGGGGTGAAATAAATTTACTAAGAGAAAGTTTATTCACTTGTGACACGCATAGGCTGCAAAATTGAAATGAAAAAATAGGAAATATTAGATATACCAATCATTAGTTCAGTAATTAAACCAGAGCCCACTAAACCATGAGGCACACATTTTCTTTTCCAAACAACTCAATTTCATTTTCTTTCTTTCTTTCTTTCTTTCTTTCTTTCTTTCTTTCTTTCTTTCTAACAATGATACTCTCTAGTTGAGTGCAACTATAATGTCTAGTTTTGCCTACTTCTAACAAAAGGAATAGCAAATACCAAGAATGACAAAATGGCTTCACCACTTCCTGATGGTGACAGTGTAGTTCAGTCTCTACCATTTCTTGAAGACTTCCCAAGTAAATTGACAGGGAAAAAAAAAAAAAACAGACAGGCATCTAATATATTTATCATACATGCTACAAAGTTCTTTTTTTTTAAAAAAAAATAGTGGGACAAATGAGAGGATTAACTGATGGAAATACTTATTTCTTGAATCTTTAACACTTGTAATAGACCAATGAATAATGTTTTAGACAGGTTCCAAACAAGGGATATTTAAACATTTTTACAATATACCTATTTTTTGTGTGTTTTTTAGTCTGTTTACATCTTTTGTACAGTGTAAGTTGTACTGTAGTGGGGACTAAACTCACAGTCTCAAGTTGCTGGGCAATTGCTCTACCTTTGAACTACACCACCACCCTTCAATAGAGCTTCAGCAAATTATGTGAAAAACCAAAGGATAAAGGAAGTCTCCAGACAAAAACCAAGGTTGTTGCGTGGTTGGCCTGGCTGTAACGGGGAAAAGCAGTCCTTACTCCGCCGTGCTGTTACTGTGCAAGTGGCTATGACCTGCAGGAAGCCCATCACCAGTATTTCAGTGTCTGTGGTGAGGAAATACGAGCGGTGACCTTTCACCCCCGCAAATCTACCACTGCCGTCCCATCATCAGCCTCTCAGCTCCTGGACCACGTCAGGTGGAGAATTTGGAGGGTGGCTGAAATAAAGGCTGAAACATACAGTCCTTTTTCCATACACTGAGTATCATGAATGAGAAGAGGTCAGAACACTCAGAAGATAAACTTCAGAGCCGTTCGTGGCACTAAAGACTAACAAGCCATCTCTTTCCTTTTTAAAGGTTTGAAGTGGCAAACCCACTGACACGCAATGCTCACGCAGAAGCTAAAAAGAGACTAGAGATGAAAAGAGGTTAAGTCTCTCCTTCTTCCCCTAATGTGTTGATTTTTGGTAGTATCCAAACATTTCAGAAAACTTTGTTTTGTTTTGTTTACTTGTGTTTGCTGTTACAAAACCATTTAAAGAAAATCAGTGAATCAAAGTGAATGTCTAGACTATGTGAGTCTGAAGCCCATAGCCTTACAATGCTGGTTTATAGCGCATAACTATGGTGGGTTCTTCTGCCCATTTTTCCTGCATATCTTCATCCCAGTTTCCATTTGAGATGGAAACTTTGTTCATTTGAGATGTTTCGGGATGGTAATATCATCATGATTTTTGTAAAATATGTGAAAAGTTATAAAAATAGTATTGAAGGCTCCATGTCATGGTGAATGCCTATATTCCCACCACTCATTTGGAGTGGGGGAATAATGAATTAAAGGCCATTCCACGCTGCATAGTGAGAAACTGTTTCAAAATTTAACATAGTGTTTAATTGTCAGTATTTCAGCCCTCCCAATTTAATAAACTTCAAATACTTACCCACTCTGACCAATTTCAGCAACATTTCACTGAGAACTTAATTTCTATCCTACTATAGAATGTTTAAATTTCAAGAATGAGAAAGGAAATTAATAAAGAGTATACATTTCACTCAACAGAACACTGCTTGGGCATTTAGAGTCCTTATATATGAATCATAAAATATGCCACACATAAAACTATTTGTGTGTGATAAGCCTATCAAATATAAAGAGAGAAAATGTTTGTCCCATTGACCATTAAAACCAGAGAGTTGGGCCAAACATGGTGGGATCCTTGCTTATAATCCTGGTATTTAGGAGACTGAAGTAAGTGGATGTAGTGGGTTCTAGGGCAGCATGGGCTACAGGGTGAGGCCCATTCTCAAATAGAAGGCAAAATGAAACAAAAGAAAAACACTGACTCTTGAAAAAAAATAGGTTATAATATCAACTTGTGCTCTCTCCATCAGTATGGAAGTCATCATGCATGAAGGCCAATAAGCAATACGTTTTCCTCAGAGGGTGTAAGAGTTATCCACCTTGACTCATATGGCTCATTTTCCTGCTCTACAGCATCTTAGTTGATGAACACACCAGATCCAGTTTACTCTCACAAATCTGTAAATATTCTGGTTGCTCCTGTAGCTCTGCTTGATTAAATATTCCTTTTGGAGAAAACTGCTCAACTATGCTAATATTAGCTTTATTCGTAATAGCCAGAATCTGGAAACAACCTAGATGTCCCCCAACCAAGGAATGGATACAGAAACTGTGGTACATTTACACAATGGAATACTATTCAGCTATTAAAAGCAAGGAAATCATGAAATTTGCACATAAATGGATGGAACTAGAAAAAAACATCTTGAGTGAGGTAACCCAGAAGCAGAAAGACACGTGTGGTATATACTCACTTATAAGCAGATATTAGCCATATAATATAGGATAAACATACTAAAATCTATACTCCTAAAGAAGCTAAACAACAAGGAAGACCCTAGGGAAGAGGCTCAGTCCTCATTCAGAAGGGCAAGCAGGATAGACATTGGAAGTGGGAGAAGACAGGGAATAGGACAGGAGCCTTTCACAGAGGACCTCTGAAACATTTACCTAGGAGGGTATCGAAGCAAATGCTGAGACTCATAGCCAAACTTTGGGAATAGTGCAGGGAATCTTATGGAAAAAGGGAAAATAGAAAGATCTGGGGCGGGGTGGAGGGGACTAGAGTTCCACAAGATGACCCACAGAGCCAAAGAATCTGGCCCCAGGCCCTGCAGAGACTGATGAACAGCCAAGACCCATGCATGGAGAGGACCTAGACCCCCTGCTAAGGTGTAGCCCATGGGCAGAACAGTGTCCATGTAGGTTCCCTAGTAAGGGAAACAGGGACAAGTCTCTGGCATGAAATCAGTTGCCTGCTCTTTGATCACCTCCCTCTGGTGGAGGGCCTTACTAGGCCATAGAGAAAGAGGATCAAGACAGTCCTGATGAAACCTGATAGGCTAGCATCAGATAGTAGGGGAGGAGGACTTCCCCTATCAGTGGACTAGAGGAGAGGAACAGAGGTGGAAGAGGGAGGGAGGATGGGAACAGAAAGAGATAAGGGAGGGGGCTACAGCCAGGATACAAAGTGAATAAATTATAGTTAATAATAATATTTAAAATGTATTTTAAGTGTGTTCATGCTGTTCCCTACTTTTGCACTCATCCATTGTTTAGTGTGTATATATGTGTGTGTGTGTGTGTGTGTGTGTGTGTGTGTATCACATTCCATCTGTAAGACCATTGTGAAATGAGACTGATCTCTCAGTATATGACATGCTTTTGTTAAGATAAAGGAACAAATGGAGAGCTGAGCTAATCTTTAGACTTCTCCGAGTTCGAGGCAATGAGGACAAACGCTAACCAAATATCAGAGTAGCTAGAGATACACGGTTACATGATCAAGTCAATGAAGTGCATCAGACAAAGTGAGGAAACAAAGAATGAGCAGAGGAATAGGAATCATTACCAAGACCTGGTAGAAGATGAGCTGGTAAGCTTCAGCGTCTCCACTTTACTAAAGAGTGGACAGTAAAGGTGACCCTTTAAGTCACCCTGGGTTGGAAGACTGATAGACTACCAGCCACACTGCTGAAACAGAAGCAAGACAATGGGCAGCCTAGAGATGATGCCCCACTAAAGAAATGAATCTGCAAATCCAAAACAGAAATTTGTGTGCACTTTGAACAGGTGCAAAGACATTATAGAAGAACTGCAGTGGGGAGGCTGATGGAGACAGACAGATCAGAGGATGAATCCCTTTACAGGAAATTAACGTTCACAACATTCCTCATCAGCTGAAAGATCTGGGTCCCCCGTGGTTTGCTAGAGAGCCACTGGAGCTAAGAAGAAGAAAAACCTAAAACCAAAGTACCCCCAAATGCTTTGTATCCCTCTAAAACACAAGCAAAGAAAACCAGTCTATGAAAAGTACCTAAAGAAGCCACAGGCCAAAATCGTAATTACAGTGATATCACATAAGCCACCTACATTCATTTTCTACTCTCCATCCCTAAATTCTATCAGGTCAGTTACACAGATGTATTTATTACTTGCCGAAAAAGCTTTTGAGCTTTTTTTTTTTTTTTGTTTTTGTTTTTGTTTTTGTTTTTGTTTTCAGAATTATGACTCAGCAAAATGAAAAAGCTCACAGAATCTGAGCACAGAGTTGTAACAGATTTTCTGCTTGCCAGTGCCTAGAGGACTCAAAGGTCACAAATGACATTAAGGTGGTGGGGATTTGTGAAGCAAAAATATGTTGTAAGAGTTATCCTGCTCCTGTGGGTGAGCATGCAGGCAAGCACCATACTTGGGAGGCAGAGGCAGAAAGATCAAGATCTCGAGAGCGGCCTTGGCTTTAGGAAAACATTTCCTCAAGACAACAAACAAAATCCACAGC